CTTTTGAACTGTGTTGTTGGAGAAGACTCTTGAGAGTCCCTTGGACTGCAAGGAGATCCAACCAGTCCATCCTAAAGGAGATCAGTCCTGGGTGTTCATTGGAAGGACTGATGCTGAAGCTGAAACGCCAATACTTTGGCCACCTGATGCGGAGTTGACTCATTTGAAAAGACCCTAATGCTGGGAAGGATTGGGGGCAGAAGGAGAAGGGGATGACAGAGGATGAAATGGCTGGATGGCATCACCGACTTGATGGACATGGGTTTTGGTAGACTCTGGGAGTTGGGGATGGACAGGGAGGCCTGGCATGCTGCGATTCATGGGGTCACAAAGAGTTGGACACAATTGAGTGACTGAGCTGAACTGAATTGACATAATAGCACTGTGTAAGTTTAAGGCATATAGCATAATGACATATACATTTTGAATTGATTGCCACAATAAGTTAACATCTATCAGCTCATATAGATAAAAAAAAGAAAAGAAAACTCTTATTTTCCTTTGTGATGAGGAGTTTTAGGATTTACTTCTTAATTTTCAGATATACAGAGTTTTAACTATAGTTATCATGTTGTACATTATATCCCCAACACTTATTTATCTTCTAATCGGAAGTTTATAACTTTTTCCCACCTTCATCCAGTTTTCCCATCTCCCAATCCCTGTCTATAAATCTATTAATAGTAACTATAAATCTGAATCTTTTTCTGTGAGTTTTATTTTTAATATTCCAAATATAAGTGAGATCATATGGTATTTGTCTTTTTCTGTCTGACTTCACTTATCCACCCATGCTGTCATAAATGGCAGGATTTCCTTTTTTATGGCTGCATAGTATTGCTGTGTTTGTGTTTCAATATGATGCTGAATTTGGTTTCCTGGGGTTTTTTGTTTGTTTGCTTGTTTTGAGGACTTCTGCATCAATGTTCATAAGGAATATTGGTCTCTAGTTTTTTAAATAGTATGTTTGGCATCATAGAATGATTTAGGAAGTCTTCCTTCCTCTTCAAGTTTTGGGAAAAGTCTGTGAAGAATTAGTTTTTCTTTAAATGTTTGGTAGAATTATAGTGAATCCCATGTCCAGGGCTTTTCTTTGTGGGAATATTTTTGATTACTGATTCAACATCCTTACTAGTTATAGGTCTATTCAGATTTTATATTGGTTTGTGACTTAGTCTTGGTAGAGGAATACCAAGTGTTGTGTTTCTAGAAATTTGTTCATTTAAACTAGGTTATCTAATATTTGTTCATAGTACTCTCTTAATCCTTTTTATTTCTGTAGAATTGGTAGTAATGCTCCTACTTTCATATTTAATATTTTGAGT